GAGGGCTGAAAAGTTAAAATAAGACCAAATGACCAAACATTATAGTTCATTTTGGGATGACTTCTTAGTCTGAGAATTTTTATCATATGTAATGATTAGGGGTGGGGTGTGGATCAGTTTCCATTGCCAAAGAGTGTCATTAGTTATGCACTGAAAACAGGTTTGTAGATATTTTGGTGTTTGATTTATAAGGAAGCAGTTACAACATTAAATTGATTATGCATTGATTTCATTGTATCAGGATATAAAGGACTATTTGCTGTTATGTGGTGATAAAGTTTAGTTAATGCACAGAATAGTGCAGTAAAAATTAATTGCCTGAAGATAAATGAAAATTGGAAAGATATATATAAAAAAAGCTTTTGATGCATAAATGATAATCAAATTTGTAGGAAAGGGAATAGAAAAAAAAGCATCACATTAAAAAAAAATTAATTAATAAATCAAAGTGAGAGAACTTGCCTGTCCCTTTGTGTGCTGATCTGCCATTCAGACTTTCATTTAGGGTCTGGAAAAAAAAGATATAAAAATTGCTGTAGTTCATATAACATGCATTATATATATATATATATATGAGAGAGAGAGAGAGAGAAGAAAAGAATAAGATATAAAAAGGAATTAAAAAAAGAAAAAAGATCAGAAAAGAGTATACAAAAAAAGAAAATGGAAGAGGTGTTACTTTTGGAGTATTTGGTGTGTACATACATTTTGTGTGTGTGCGTACACACACATACATATATATATATATATATATATATATATATATATATATATATATATTGTGTATTTAGGCAGCAATCCTCATTTATACATGTTTCATTCATTAAAGACGACAGACAAAGTAATGCGATTAAGCTTTTTATTTAATTTTTCTGGTATTCAAACAAGTGTTTTCTTTTCTGGACACAAAATGTGTAGAAACTGTTCAAATGTTCTGTAATTCCGAGCACTTTCACTTACTTTTAGCCATTATCTAGGATGATCTTATTTTTTACTTTTTAACTGGATGTATGGGTTGTGTGTACGTTTTTAGAGTCATAGGGATGTTTTATTTTCCAAACAGTCAGCACATTGTGGGCGTGTTCGTAGTTAATATTACCGAGTGTTGGCTTTTGCATTTTTTTTTTTTTTATTAAGGCTTCTATTAGGTGTAAAAAAAAAAAACAATTAAAAATAATGGAAGTCTTAATAATAAAAAAGCTTAATTGCAGTACCTTGTTTGTAGTCTTTAATGTAACACACACACTATATATATATATATATATATATATATATATATATATATATACACACACACACACACACAAACCCTACAGTGTGAAAATTTGAACCCACTGCCAGAATTGGCAAAAGAGTGAAGAAAAAATTAAAAAGAGGTCTTAGTCACTGAAAAAAGAATGGAATCAATTATCAAACTTATACTTTGAGAAACTTGCAACGGATGCCAAAAATTTGTGCTGCAGTAATCAAGTCTTAAAGGAGGATATTTTGACAAGAGCAAAATTTAATTATAAAATGCTTCTTTTCTGTTTGTCCTAATAAAATTTCTAATAAAAAATCATGTCTAACTTTTTTTTTTTAATCATGTATAATAATTTTCTTTTATTTAAAGTACAAGTCAACTACATTTGAGGTCAAATTAAAAATTTACCAGGGGTGGCCTAAAACTTTTGGACTGTAGTGTGTGTGTGTATATATATATATATATATATATAAACATTTTTGATGGCGGGATTTCGCAAATATTCAGGCTGGTAAATATAGTTGGATAAAAAATACTGTTTCAATTAAAAAGCAAAACTTCTACTTGAATATGAGTATCCATCAAAATTAAAATTTAAACAAATTAAAAATAATCCATTTCCTATGTGTGTGTGTGTAGATGTAATAGAGGTGCGATAGATAAATTGTCGTCTAATTACAAAAAAATTGAAAATAACCCCAAAATATCTTAAAATACTAAAGAGTAAATTTATTCAATAAAATCACCCTTGCCTTTAATCACATGTTCCAGATGACTTCAGAACCTCCTACAACTCTTCTGGACAGTCTCCTTGTTTTAGCTGGCGAATGCTGCCATAATCCTTGCCTTTAGTTCACTTTTGGTGCCCAACTGACACAACTAATACTGTGAAGTTGACAAAAACATGCAGTGCGCATGCATGAAATTAAATATGTGTATGAGTGTGTGTGTGTATATATATATATATATATATATATATATATATATACATACACCTCTTTATCTATTGAGAGAAAGAAAATGAGATGTAGGGATAGAATCCGTTCAAAAGCAATCAATCTTTTTTTTTTTTTAGAAATTCCCATTTATAGAATTCATTAAGGAGAAAAAAGAAAAAGAAAAAAAAAAAGGAATCCTTCCAGCCACTCCCCACCAACCAAGAATGGTAGATAAAAAGGAGGGAGAAAAAAAAAAAAAAAAGAAGAATGGTAGATAAAAAGGAGGGAGAAAGATAAAAAAAAAAAGAAAAAAAAAGGAAGAAAGATAAAAAAAAAGAATGGTAGATAAAAAGGAGGGAGAAAGATAAAAAAAAAAAAAGAATGGTAGATAAAAAGGAGGGAGAAAGATAAAAAAAAAAAGGAATGGTAGATAAAAAGGAGGGAGAAAGATAAAAAAAATAAAAGGGAAGAGTATACCCATCTCCACAAAAAGAAAAGAAAAAAAGTCACACAAAAGAAAGTGAGAGAGGAGAGACAGTGAAAACGTAGAAGAAATGAAACAAACCTGAAATAATTTGGCATAATACAGAAGTTCTTCATTCGAAATCCCAGCTTTGTCATCACTGCAAAGTACATTCTGGAGGGGAGTGTGAAATAAGAAATAAAAAAAAAAGCAATGGGAGGATTAATAAGGAAACTAACAAAAAATCAAATCACATAACAATAGGCACAATTTTTCTACTTAATATAAATGATTCCACTTATTCAGGATTAAAAATAACTTTGATGAATGGTTTCATTGCAAATACACTGCTTGCTTCAGACTTAATTTCTAGCAATGATTTTCATTTTTGCTAAATACAGATTATGAAACAGAATATCTGTAAAGGATAATATCAAATGAACTTAGGACTTTTAAAGTTCATGTCCTTTTTATTTTACATTCTGGGTGTACACACAATATGCATCTTCAACTTTCTCTGACTAGAGTCACTTTGATTGGAAAAAAAAATTCTGAATCACAACACGAATATATATTAAAGAAAATAAAAACATTTTGAATGATTGAGTTTTTTTTTTTCTTTCTTTCAGGTAAAATATACTTATATATATATATATATATATATATATGTTAAGATGATAATAATATACATTGCCAATGAACTTTGGAGATTTAATAGGTTCAGTACAAAAAGACAAAATGTTAAACTATACTTTTATATCACTAGTAATGGTATTTCATTTTAAAGTTTGATGCCAAACTTACATTTAATAAAGTATATATATATATATATATATATATATATATATATATATATCTCAAGTATGTGGTGCAATTCAATTTACATTACATGAATCATTCATACAAAAAAACAGATATAGAAGTTAATGATATAAATGGCAAGAATACATCTTCGCAAACAAATTTAATAATTTTTTGTATATATATATATATATATATATATATATATATATATATATATTAGTGGACACTAGGGTCTAGTTAGAATTAGTATTCATTCATTCCTTCATTCATTCATTCATTCCAAAGAGTATGAGATCTGACAAGTTCAATTAATTTATCAATTATCTGAGCCATATATATAAGTAAGCAAAAACAAGTAAAATAAATTAATACAAACAAATAAATATATAAATAAACTAAGTAAATAATAAACAAATTAACAAATCACGTATGCACAGATAAACACAAGAAAACTTAATAATAACAACCAACAATAGAATAATCAAGAATAAATAAAGTTAACATTATAAATAGCCAAAAAACTGCATGCAAATCCACAATTATTCCCACTCAATAGCCCACATAATAATTTGAAACACAACTGTTACTGCCCACCAATGTAACCACGAGAATAATGCAATAGTTTACCCACAATGCATCACTGACCTGTATATAGAAATAGTCAAGCAAAAAAAACAATGCACATGGTTTGATGATTGCATTTGGCATGAAACAGATTGTCATCTCTGGGTGTTGACGTCAATGCCTATTTTTATATATCTTGAAAAGTTCTTATCCTTTATTGTGTAATATACACACACACACACTCTTTCGAAAAGTTCTTATCCTAACCAAGGAGAAAAACAACAAAGACAATTTGATGTTTGGATAAAATTTTGACAAATGGGTTGGGCCAAGAACTTTTCAACAAAATCTCTTCATCACACACAAAATAAATATCATAAATATTTTACATTTTTGTTTACGAAATCTATTCTCCCAAAAAATAAAGTACAATCAAATTATATTCAATTAAATAGACACCATTATTTATAATGACTGGTTGCCACTTATCAGGCAACTCTTTGATAACTTCTGAGTGAAATTCTGCACACTTTGATGTAAATAAGTTTTTGACAATCCCTTTAAAGCCAGAAAATATTTTTTAGATTGTCAGAAATTTTTGGATATAATAAGGATTTAGTGATACAAGTTAACTAATTAACCCACAGCTGGGGGGAAAGGGGTGGATGCATACCTTTTGCAAGGGTATTTGTGCATAAGTTAATATAATGAAACCAATTGAAATTTGAACACTGTTCTATACAGGTTATTTAATGTTGAAATATAAATATTTTTTATGCAATTTTATTTTATTTTCTGGAGATAATAAATGGTTTAGAGATACAAGTTTTACTAATTAACTCATAGCTGGAGGGAGAAGAGGTGGATTTATATCTTTCCCAACGGTATTTGCACATAAGGGAATATAATGAACCCAACTGGAATTGGAACTCAGCTCTCTGATAAACAACTCCAAGCTGTTATCCACTGTGCTACCCACAGATCTAAGCTTACAGTACCTGGTATTTCCAAGAGGTCACCCATCTAGATACTGACCTGGCTCGATATTATTTAACTTCAGTGATCGTATAGGAACCAGTGTTTCAGTGTGTTATGGCTGTAAGCCTCATCATATAAAGGATCACTTCCTAAATAATACTGTTGTAACATACCTACGGACGATAATGGGTATGCATCCATTCCCATAAATACAGAAGTGGATACTGTATGTGTGGGCCTGCGGTCTGCAGTTGGAGATTCATTGTGGAATTCACTTGACTTCTAGCATTTGACAACTACTTCTACATGCTGTTGGTTATATGTGTTGTTCTTGTCCTAAGTATTATCGTTCATTACCAACCTTTGTGTGATTATTCTATTCAGTAACCTTCCCTAGGTTACAACAAATACAAACCTTTCTTTCCTGAAGAATTTCTAGCAGGAGTTCAAGCTGGGAAGCAGATTCCATGACATCGGGCAAATTGGCCTCAATGTCCGTGAGTATTGCCACCTTTGCCTGCCACGCTTCATACTCTGTGCGAGGCATTTGCACGTAATTCATCGTCTTGGTATCCATCATCATTTCATCCTTGGGCTCATGTTGCTGTTTCTGCTGGGGAAGTTTCTGTTGGGGCTCAGTTTTCAGTTCCTCCTCTTTGCATGTTTTTGTGGGGGTCTCTTCCTCACCAGCAGGTGTAGTGTGCTCATTTGTGGGAACCTGAAATTCAACAAAATACTGTTTATAAAGAATATCTTTATTGGAAATAGATATTTGGGGAAATTTATATAAGACAAAAAAGAAAAAATAAAGGAAAATTACCCAAGCTTATTATACCATTTGTGACCTTCAAAGAGCAGTTGAAAATCATATAAAAATTACCATAACTATGAAGTCTTATTTAGACAGTGAGATGATGAAATATGCACATACACATGAGATAATGAAAACACACACAAACACGAAATAATGAAATTATATATATATATATATATATATATATATATATATATATATATATATATATATATATATATATTTCACATGTACTGACTTCATGCCATATGCGATATAAAATGGGATGACAGGGTCAAGAATAGTGCAATACTGAAGAAATGTAACAACATCATAGGCACTGAAACCATTCTAGCAAAGATACAGCTTAGGTGGGTTGGTCATGTACAAAATGAGCATAAGCTTCCAAAAAAGGTACGGTATGGACAAGTATCAAATGCCAAGCATTCAGTTGGATGCCCACTCTTATGCTACAAGGACAAATTGAAAGACAACTTGAAATGTCTCAACTTTGATCTGAAAACCTGGGAAGCCCGATCATCAAACAGAAAGAAGTGGGGTAAGACATGTTTCATTGTTAAAGGGTTTTGAAGACAGTAGACTGAAGCAAAATGATCAGCTTTATCTATGCCTGAAGCAGAGATGCCATCAAAATCCTGTTTTATTAAGTTTCATCTGTCACTGTGACTTTGTCACCCACAGCAAAGCTGGGCTAGTATCACACTTAAAAAAAGTACAAATGAAATATGTCTTTACCTGATTTTCTCCACAATAGCCCTGTTAGCATGCATAAGTGTAAAACAAAAGGCACCATCCAATGCTAGCCCTCCTTTATTGTACATGATAGAAGAGTCCATATATATATATATATATATATATATATATATATATATATATATATATATATATATATGAGAAATTCAGAGACCATCTGAAGCTTTTGTATTCTCCTGAAAGTCAACTGTAATTGATTTATTACCAAAAGAATCGATTAATTGAACTTACCTGATTTCTTGATGCCTTATGGAATGTTCTGGTTTCTGTATAAACAGTTTTCTGGACCTCTTCATCTCTATAAATGATAGTACCATGTCTGATTCCTTTGGAGAAGTTCATAAATTCTTTCTCAAAGTCTTTGAGTTTCTCACATTTCTTTTGCATTTCTTTCTGTAATGCTTGGATCAACATGGCTAATTCTTTCTGTGACATCTGCAAAAGTTCCTCAAATATTGGATCCGCCAAAGAGTCATCTAATTTGCTCTTCGATAGGAACTTTTTGGGTGAGAAAAGGATTTCACCGCTTTCATTAGTAAGCCATTGGTTAGAATTCTCATAGCAACCAATATCTTTCAAGCAGGATTCTAGTCTATCAATTAGTATTAGATATTTGTTTTCTGAACTTGGGAGGGGCAGTGAGACGTCTGATGAACTTGAGGAATGTTCGAATTCTGTTGACCTTTCATGATGGTCTTTGATAGTTTCGTCTGGAATGATATGGCTCTCATTAAAGAGCTGAAGCTTTTTGGCAAGAAGTTCTTTCTCATGTTTTATTGCTACAAGTTCTTGCTCCAGTTTCTCCTTGGAAGTTTCATGGTCAGCATGAGTCTGTTTCACCTCTTCCAGTTTTGAATGTAATGACTCAAGTTGCTTTTGAAGGTCACTGTTAACCGCTTCCTCAGCAGTTAATCTTTCTCGGGCTTCAGCCTCCAGCTTCTGCAGCTCGGCAACTCTTTTCTGTTCTTCTTCCAGTTGCATCTCACTTACACGAAGCTTTGCGATTAGGTCCTTGCTGCTATCATTCCTGTCTTTTCGTAATTTCTGGAGCTCCTCTTTTTGGGTTTCACAACTGTCCTCAAGTTCCACCACCTTTTCCATCAACTTCTCTTCATTTACTTCCAAAATTCGTATCTTTTCAGCTGTCACCTTTTGCTGGGATTCAATATCACGCAGTTTGTTCACCTCAGCCAGGAGATCCGAGTTTTCTTTCTCCAATTCACACAGCCGCTCATAATTCAGAGAAACCGAGGTACTGCTCTTTGGACGTGGAACATTCTGAAAGTCATCAACCTTTGACCGAAGTTCTTGGTTTTCGGCTTCAAGTTCCTGAATACGGATAAACAAGGAAGAAGTGGTAACCTCCTGCTTGTTGTTCTGTGAAGGTTCAGTGGCTTCTTCCAGCAAGCCCTTTAGGTTTTTATTCTCCTCTTCCAGCGACTGGATCTTGATACTCAGCTCTTTCTCTCTCGCCTCCGATTGCTCAAGGCAACGTTTCAAATTATTATTCTCATTCTTCAACTGTTCGTTAATCTGTCTCTCTTTGAAGCAGAGATCATCACTCTTTCGGTGGCAGTTTACCAGCTCTGATTTGAGAGCGCTAATAATCTGCTGGGATTGACTCTCTGGATCCGCCAATGTGTCAAACGCATTCAGCAGATTCTCTTGTGAATGGCTAAGTTCCTTTATGTGGTCCTCATAGCTCAGCATCTTTTCAATGGTGAAATCACCATGCTCACAGAGTTTCAGCTTGGCCAGCAACTGCTTCTCCCTCTGCTCCATTTCAAAGATAGACTCACTCAGCTTCTGCTCATTTTGTTGAAGCCTCTCCACACGATCTTCCAGAGTTTCAATCTTTGCATTCTTAGACTCTGTGACATTGTACAAGCGGTCTTCCATCTCCTTCAGCTTCGATTCCATCTCAGATATTGCACGAGATTCCTCAGAGTCGGAAAGGTTCTGGCTGAGGGACAGTTCTGAAGCGAGGGACACTCCAGTAGCAAACCTCTCCTCTTCATCCTGCAGTTTGCTCTGGAGTTCTTTATTGAGCGATTCCAGCATCTTGATTTTCTCCTGAAGGCATTCAGTCTTGTTTGCTTCTGAATCAACAATCTGTTTCCAATGTTCTCTAAGGAGGACCTCAGCTTCTTCAAGTTCACTGATACGTGCTTTCAAGAACTCATTATGCCTTTCAAGTTCAGTCATCTTCTCTAACTTCTTGGACAGCTCAGCATCATTGGAATAGTTCTCCCTGGAACGGAGGCTCTCACGAAGGTCATTTTCATCTTCTCGGAGTTCGGCCAGCTTGCGAGCATTGCGAAGTTCAGCTTCTTCTAGGTCTTGGATCTAGAATTGGAAAAAGTTCACTTAATTTCAGAGAAAAAATAATAATAACCACTATTCAACACTATTAAGACAAGTTCTTAAAGAAATAATACAATCTATAAAAGAAAATATTACAGGAAAATAAAAATTAAAATGATTTATTCAAAGAACATTAAAATTTCTAAAATCAATCCTTGTCAGTACTTACCAATGAGTGTAAAACTAAAAATATTTACATCACTTAGAAAATGAAAAGAACCTTAAATAGAAATTAAAACATTCTCAAATTTAAGAATATTAAAATACTTAAAATTTTAAATAAAATATTAGAATATTAGGTTCCACTCAAAATTTTAGTAAAATTTAAATAAATTTTGTCTAGTTTATGAATGCATTTTATAAATGTCAATCACTATATATATATATATATATATATATATATATATATATATATATACACACATCGTTATATATCAAGAACAGTATTGGGGAAAATATATGACAAAGTGGAAATACTTTACTTGTGATGCGTTTTGTCCATTAGGACATCTTTGGATTAAATTTGTTATTTCGGTGTGACTACACGTGCATGAACAAGGGATGCTGGGAATTTTAAATTTAAATTTTTGTTTTTTTAATCTAACTAATTTCATTTAAATTCTTTTACTTTCCATCACTTTTGTTAGTAGATATTCCACACTGAGATAATAGTGCCCATGGCAATGAGACTGACAACAATTTTGACATAAAATGCCACTCTGAAAAAAAAAAAGAAAAAAGAAAAAAAAAATGACAAAAATATCGAGGAAGTGCCTTGATCTACAGTAAATTTGCACTTGGGCTCTTACATTTCACCATTCCTGGCAGAACATCTTTTATAAAAAAAATAAAAATTTTAAATTCTCAGCCCCTCTCATTTGTGTGCATGTGTATTTGTATCCAACTTAACAAATTTAGAAGTCCTAAAGGACAGAACACATCACAAGAAAACTTTATCCACTTTGTTATATATCTTCACCATATATATATATATATATATATATATATATATATATAAGTGTGATACACAAAGTCTAAATGATTTTAAAAGAAAAAAAAAAAAAACAGCTCTTGTCTGTAAAGTATACATAGTTTGATAAGCCCACCATCATCATCAAGCCACATTTACTGAATTTTTATACAAGTAGCTTTTATCAAAGAACACTGGATAGTAAACCAAGAAATATATATA